AATTTAATATTATTTATATATAAATAATTTTAATTAATTAATTTAAAATTATAATTTATTCTTTTTATATAAATTAATTATTAAAAAACACATTAATTATATTCATTAACTTATACCTAACAATACGTGTTAAAAAAATCTAGCGAGAAAATCACGGCTATTACAGTCCACCATCACCTACGTACCATACCCATATCTATCTTTAATCACGGTCATCAAAAAAGTTTAAAACTCATACAACGGATCAGATCTTTACATGTGGTTTAACTGGGATAGCAGACGATTACGAAACACCGTCAACTAGACTGTAGTGGCGATGTACCTAACTTAATCTAATGTTTTTAAATTCTACCGCTACGAAACATCCCTATCGGAGGGAACCCATGCGAAAATAATTAGCCATGTTCTACCGGCTCGCCGTAGTGCTGTGCCTCCTGGTGAACTCAGTTGCCGGAGGTGTTAACTTCACCTATAATGGGTTTCGGTCGGTGAATTTGAGCCTCGATGGTGTAGCAGAGGTCACTTCCAATGGACTCTTGAAGCTCACCAATGGTTCAGATCAGCAGCAGGGTCAGGGTTTCTACTTTTCCCCTGTGAAACTCAAGGACTCCACAAACGGCACTGCTTTCTCCTTCACGACCACCTTCGTCTTCGCCATACTCTCACAATACCCCACTCTCGGCACTTCCGGAATGGCTTTTGTAATTTCACCAAGCAGAGGCCGCCCGGGTGCTCTGGCGAATCAATACCTCGGCCTGTTCAACGAAAGCAACAATGGAAATGACACCAATCGTGTTGTTGCAGTGGAACTCGATACGATAAAGAATGTCGAGTTCAAGGACATAGCTAGATGACAACCATGTCGGAATTGATGTTAATGGGTTGACGTCCAACGTGTCCCATGGAGCTGGGTATTATGTGAACGGCACCGGCCAATTTATGAACCTGACGCTGATCAGCGGACAGCCAATGCAAGTTTGGGTAGAATACGATAGTCTAGAACAGAGAATGAATGTCACCTTAGCTCCAATTAATGTTCCTAAACCCAAACTCCCACTTTTGTCTCTGTCAAGGGATTTATCGCCCATCGTCAACGATACTGTATACATCGGATTCTCTGCGTCGACGATTGCGGTCGTAACATCTCATTATGTTTTGGGTTGGAGTTTTATGATTAACGGCCAAGCAGAGGAGCTCGTTATTTCACAGCTGCCTAAGCTTCCTCGCAGAGGACCGGAGAAAACATTGAAGTATTTAACAATTGGATTGCCTCTGATTTTCCTGACTCTGGTTTTTGCAACAGTTTCAGGGATTGTTTATTTCATAAAGAGGAAGAGGGAATTCTCAGATGTAGTTGAAGATTGGGAACTCGATTACGGGCCTCAAAGATTCAAGTACAAAGATCTGTATGTGGTCACAAATGGGTTCAAGGACAAAGGGTTACTGGGTTCCGGTGGGTTTGGTAAGGTTTATAGAGGAACATTACCCACCTCCAAATTGGAGATTACCGTCAAAAAGGTCTCTCATGAATCGAGACAGGGGATGAAGGAATTCGTGGCGGAAATTGTTAGCATCGGTCGTCTCCGTCACCGGAATTTAGTACAACTCCTGGGGTATTGCCGGAGAAAAGGGGAGTTGCTCTTGGTCTATGACTACATGCCGAACGGAGGTCTGGACAAGTACCTCTATGGCCAGCCGAAGGTCACCCTGAATTGGAGACAGAGGTTTAGGGTCATCAAGGGTGTAGCCTCGGGGCTACTCTATTTGCACGAAGAATGGGAACAAGTTGTGATTCATAGAGATGTAAAGGCCAGCAATGTTCTCTTAGACAGTGAATTGAACGGAAGATTAGGAGATTTCGGGTTGGCGAGATTGTATGGTCATGGAACGGATCCACAGACAACACATGTGGTGGGTACTCTGGGGTACCTAGCGCCGGAGCACACCCGAACAAGGAAGGCCACAACCAGCACCGATCTGTTTGCTTTTGGTGCCTTTTTGCTAGAAGTTGCCTGTGGAAGAAGGCCGATTGAGCCACAAGGTGAAACAGAGGATTTGATCCTGGTTGATCTGGTGTTTTCGTTTTGGCAAAGAGGGGAGATTCTTGAGATTAGAGATCCAAAATTAGGGACAGATTTTGTAGCAAAGGAGGTGGAGTTGGTACTGAAGCTGGGGTTACTCTGTTCGCATTCAGACCCCACAGCCAGGCCAAGCATGCGCCAAGTGTTGCAGTACTTAGAAGGGGATGTTCCTTTACCGGACTTATCAGCACTAGGCCTGACTGCCAGTGGCCTAACGTTTGCCCATGGTGAAGGTTTTGATGACTTTGTCACGTCCTATCCGTCTTCCATGAATAAGGCACATACGCATTCCTCTTCAATTGCAGAATCCCTACTTTCAGGAGGTCGATGAATCTGGAAACTTTTGTATTTTATTTGTGTTTTGTACGGGATAATTTGTTTTTGTTTTTCTGTATATGGTTGTTACCAGACATGTCAAATTAGCTTCTCTCATTGTGCAAACACGTAAAGATATATACTGTTTTTTTTTTTTTTTGGTGAATTAAGACCATTAGTGATGACTGGGTTCAATGCAGTTTTGAAGTACAAATTTCTGAGAGGCTTGGTACCCCAGAAGTATAGTGAGTTGAGTTTGAAAGCGTTCTAAAAAGGATGTGTGTAACAAAGCATACGATTTCAACTTCTGTAATAAAGAACAGAAAAGTGATTTTGAAATCAACCTATAAGAATAAAAGAGTATGAATACTTAGTGGAATTATTTAAATACATTAATAAAATAATTCTAAAGGCATTTTTAAACTTTTTTTGTCCAGAACTTAAAAATCTGCCATCCCAATAGAAATTTTTTAAAAAATATTTATGACTCAAGTCTCAAACCTCTAAAACATACCGAAGATTATGTGATTGGCAAAACATGCAAATTACCTCTTCAACTTCTCATATGGTGGCAAATCACCCCTCAACTAGATTCGCGCGCAAACTAACCCCTAAACTCATTTATAGTAGCAAAACAACCCTTCTATCACGGATGATGTACGTTAACTTTCCATCAACAGTTCTTTAGGTGGCATTTTCATGGACCCCTCTATGACTTAACTTTTGTTTAAAGGTATAATATATTTTTTATTATATTAATTAATATTATATATGTTTAGCGGGGTATTTTTATTGTAATTAATAATATATCTTTTATTAAGGTCCCGTTTGGTATAGCGGTTTTGGGGTAGCAGTTAGCGGTTTTACCTAAACCGCTAAATATAGGTGTTTGGTAAATTTATATATTTCGAAACCGCTATAACTAAAGTATTTGGTAAAATTTTTATTTAGCGGTTTGAAACAAGCGGATAACGGTTAGGGTTCAAATCGTTAACGGATTGAAAAAGCTAGTTTATATAGCTTTTTGTACCAAACCGCTAATGAATTAGAATTTTTTAATTTTATTGATAAATTTATCCATTTTAAATTTTTTTAATTTGTGGTCACATTTTTTAATTAATAATTATCTAA